CCCCGCCAGCCCCAGCGCTGAGAGGGGGCTSAGCTGGAGAAGGACCTGCGAGCAGAGCTCAAAATAGCCCCTGGCACCAACACCAGCGTGGTCAGCACCCGGCCAGGGCAGGTGGGAGGGGAGCAGTGGAGCGGACATGTGGTGACCACATGGTGTGACCCCCGGGACCTGCGTCCCACATGCCCCAGCACCCAACACCCACTCAGGGTGCAGGTCACCAGCTTAGGCCAAGTCCAGAGGTGCAATGTCCCCACATCAGCCACTCCACAACTGACCCAAAGGCCCAGGGACACGCCCGGGACATCGGCACCCACAGCCAGAACAGCTCTGGTACTAAGAAAGGAAAGAGGATTAACACTCTGGAGTCGCCTGGTAGGACACTGAGGGTTGTCCCAAGCATCTCACCAACCCCAATTCCACCAGGGAACACCACAAGGACACGTGGTTCCCATGATCCTTCCTGGGTGGCACTGCAACCATGGACAACCTGGTGGAAAGCCACCCTTGGGTCACCCATCACACAGCTCCAGACTCTCCTGTCCCACCAGCAGGACACAGCTCAGAAAAAACAGGACAAACACCATGCATTGGGATGGGAGGAGTGTTGGGACTTACCTGTGCAAGGGGCAGTGGGGTGTGGGGTCTGTCCAGCTGCACCCTGCAGGCAGCTGCTCGCCCCAGTACACCCCAGTACACCCCAGTACACCCCAGTACATCCCAGTAATCCCAGTCCAACCTCCCAGTCAGCACAGGAAGGGACAGGCGACACAGAAAGAACGAGGCGCCAGCACACACGCAAAGGACGGTTTTTATTGGGGTCTGGTCGTAGGAGAGCAGTTGTACTGACCAACACACAGAAGCAGCTTAGCTGTGCCAAAAGAATCCGTTAAAAAAATACTGGCGGCAAGAACCGAGGGTGGCACACCCGCCACGGCGGGGCTGTAAACTCCGGGACAGTCCGTGAGGAGCAGGCACCGGGACCCTCCTCCCCACAATAAATATGGAAAGAGCCAAGTACAGAAAACAAGGAATGATCTCATCGATACAATATCTAAAGGTATTTACAGATCCTGGCTTCGCTCACCATTTAATTACACATTTTGGACAGGTTCTCTTTCGATCGTTTTCCTTCATCGAGAGTCGCTGTTCGTGTGAAATCTGCTCCTTTTTGTTTTTAAAGGACCTAGTGAGGCACGGGAAGTGCTCACAAATCCCCTCTCTGAGGATGCTCCTGCTTTATTCTGTTTTTCACGGGTATTTTTTTGGGCCATCTCACCTATTCTCTGCTCGCTCCCTGAGGAAATGCCTCCTGCCAACAGGAAAATCTCTTCCCAGYCCATTCCTCACCCCATCTCCTCTTCCAGCCTGGAAATTCGTGTCACACAAAGCCAGATCGAGGACAAAGCCACCTTCCTGCTCCTGTCCCCAGGTTCTCTGCCAAAGTCCTGCCTGGACACAGCCCAGGACAGTGGCATCAGGATTGGCACTGTCCCCACCATGGCACTTTCTGGGGGTGACACTATGGAGTCACAGTGTCACCCACCTCCAGGGACAGCTGAGGCCACAGCTCACCCCAAAATCCAGAGGGGAAAATGGGCAAGAAGGCAGGGGCTGCTCCAGGGTGAGGCAGGGACACCTCAGTGCTCCAGGAGCACAGCAGGGRTCCCTCCCCACCCCGAGCAGCCCCTCTGCAAGGAGAGAATTCCAGCAGCAGGAAAATGCCACATTTCACCCCAGAAATGCCACGGGGATCAGCTCTGAGCAGCACAGACCTCCACCCCAGCACGGTGGAAATTGAGAGCACACACTGTTACACCTCGAGTACTCCTCAGACTGCACAGGCCCCGCTCACAACTGCAATTATTTTTAGGAACTGATAAATGCAGGGCTATTTCTGTACCTCACAGGGGAGGGAGGTGCYAGGGATGGCTCTGCAGATGTGCCCAGATGTGCCCAGCAGCAGTTCCTGCAGCGATGGCCCCACAGGGGGGTCCTGCCTGGGGTCACCCTCCCCAYGGCCCCGAGGGACGGTCCCTGCAGGGTCCTGGGGTGGCTGTYCCCTCCTGGGAGGTGACACAAAGCAAGGTCCAGGCACACACTTCCCCTGCCTCAGGATCCTGCTTTTAAGGATCCCATTCAAACACCAAAACCATCTCCATTTGGGGTTTTGGGTAAGGACATTTGGGATCCTGCAGCCCTGTGCTCCAGGCTCTCCTTCCCCTGGGAATGACAGAGCTCTGCACAATTCCTGATGGCTGAGTGGGATCAAACATCAAACTGACTYCTTCCCCCAGTTCACATCATTAATTCTCATTAATTCAGCACAGACTCCTGTGAATAAACGCTTGTTCTGGCAATGCTGAGGGATAAAGAGGAAATTTTGAAATTATCCCATCGAAGGATGGCTTTGCAGGAGCTTCCCAGATGTTCCTGCATTCAGGAGCCACCTGAGATGGTCCTGGAGTCCCTGTGCTGGGAGAGAAAGGCTGCACAGCCTCAGGGAATCTATCCCCACGTCATTGTGAAAAACAGAATAAAGCTGGCTGATCCTGCTTGAAAGGAGCTGCCACTTCCATACACATACGGAGCAGAAATTCTGTGGAATGTCAGAAGTTGGAGAAACATGTATTTAATAAATAATATAAAATGCTTTTTTCTGTTAAAATAGAATTCTCGGGTTTATACCTACAGAGCATAGCAACCTTTACATAAACAAAATAAAGCTGAGTCTGTGATGATTAGTTTAACACAAAATAAAAATACAATTTAACAATAGTATTAAAACAGCCAATGTTCCATCCACACAATATGTACACCATGGAATAGAAACCAACAGGAAACAAAWGTAGATTATCTTGAAACTCCTCAGACATTTGGATATACATATTTTCTCTGTATATTTTAGATATTTTCCTTTTTTTTTACAATATTAAAATTAATACTATGCTTTGTCAAAATACGCTTTTCAGATTTTTTTTTCCTTTAATTCATAGAACTGACTCATTCCTCACATTAATCAACACAACTAGAATTATTTATTGTCTACTGTACACTTCAAACAGTCCTTCCTGCAGGAGTATTTCGGGTGCAAACACCTCCGAGGCGAAGGAGCTGAGCTGGGAGGTGACACCRCCGTGTGGGACACGGATATGGGATCATGGAACCTGGTCCTAAAGCTGACCAGCTGCCAGGGAAACTCAGAGCTGCAGGGATTTCACTCCTCACCAGTTAATTCAGTGCAAACCCAAGSAATGACAAAGCTGAGCCACCCCAGCGCTKGGGCTGGTCCTGCTCAGGGAATGCCAACCCCGAGAGCTCCTCTGGGCAGCATCACAACCAAAATCAGCCTTTTTGAGCCCAAATCAGTGTTTCCAGCACCTCCACACCAGGCTGCAAACACCTGATTTACCTCAAAGCCAAACCCAACCTCACAATCCAATTTCCAGTTTTCCCCCKGTGTTTTTCCTTCCAGAGGAAAAACTTTTGCTGGGTTTCTAAAGGAGAGGTGAAGAATCACAGAATCATGGAACATCCTGAGCTGAAAGRGACCYRYAAAKATCAMCAAAATCCAACTCCTGCCCCAAGAAATGAAACAAAACTCGAATGTGACTAAGCCAAGGTCTATCCCYGGAGCTGCTCTCCCTACCTGCCAGGCTTCCCTTCCCAGACACACTTCCAGCTATTATTAGCCTGCTCCAAGGTTTTTTGAAGCCTGCTGGGGGGTGGGGGAACATACCAGGAATGTCAATCCCAGCTGGATCTACTCCAGTTTTACACCAGCTTTCCTCACAGCAGCAATTGGGGAAGAAGCCGTAGCCTGCAGCTGAGGCTCTGCTGGACCAGGGACAAAAACACAAAAACACACAAACTCAAACACAACTAGGAGGAAGAAAGTTTTGCACTTGGACAAGTGGATGGCCAACACTTGGGTGAAGGATTGAAAAAAAACCAAAACCACAAAAAAACCCCTACAGTAAATGTCCCTTTAACAGCTTCGTGAATTTGCAAAATAATTACCAAATAAACAAAGAGTTCCTAAACACACAGCCAAAGAGCCTCCTGCAAATTAACACCACCAGGAATCTTTGTCCAAAACTAAGATTTCAGAACCTCTGGTTCCTACACCAGGAGGGGGCAACGTCCAGGATTTTCTGTTTTGGAGGGTGCAATCCCAGCTCTCCCTCCACACCAGAACATCCTGTCACTTCCACACAGAGCCCCATTTCTTACTGGGATCCCAGCCTGGTTCAAGACTTTGTGATAATCTCTCATCTCCTAACTGCACAGTTAAACACAAGTCAGAAAAATAAAGCTGTTTTGAATGGTCAATAAATCAGCTAAAGAAATCCAAATTTTTGTACCCCACTCCCATCAGAGGTTGGATGGGGCAGCAAGGAGCTCRATAATGAGAATATTCTGGGGCCATCCCAACTCCATCACATTCCCAAACACATGTATTTCCCTAGGTCAATTCACAGCCTGAATTTCATGTAAAATCTCTGRGTTTGAGGCACAATTTCTCACCCGATGACCTGTTCCTCCCTCACTGACGTTGGCACCAGAATCTGCTGAGCAGAGATTGCTGACAGRGAGTGAGAGTGAAATCCAGCCATGGAAAATAACTGAAGGAGAATTATGGAACTGATCGGGGACTAAGAAAGTAAAAACAAGTTAYACAAGAACTGTGAGCAGGTTTTAACACCATCTGAGGGCTTTTTTTTCCTAAATCAAGGAGAAAAATACAAGCAGAGCATGGCATTGTAGGRAAAGCTGGACAACAGCCAGCAGGATGAGACATTTTCTATCCCAAACGCTGCTAAATACCACAAACAGGATCATGGAATCGTTTAGGTTAGAAAAAACCTCCAAGATTATCAAGTCCAACCTTTGACCAATCACCTCTGCCACTGCTCCTTACAGAGGAGCTGAGATGCTCAACAGGAATAATGGAGAGGCTGGTATTTTTTATACAGAATGATTTGGAAAATAAATACGGGGGAAAAAAATCATGGGGAGGAACCACTGACTCACAGGGGGTATATTCCAGAATGTATTTTCATTTTGATGCAGCCCCAGGTGGTCAGGCAGGGYTTGCACAAGCCCTGTGTGTGTAGAAGCAAACAGAGTCACTTTTACTACTTTTTTTCAAGGAACTCTGTGGTGATCTGACAGCCACACACGCTCGACAAACCATGCTTAGCTCCTGCTCCCACTTACACAGGCACAATTCTCTCTGTCTTCAGGGACTGGGAGAGTTGTACCTCTGCAGCRAGGAAGGAAAATCTTCTCTAAGGTGTTCACTGAATTGGAAAAAAAAAATAGCTTAAATTCAGCCCTGACCTCTTTCTTMCAAACCACCACAGCACCCGTGGGACAGCTCAGGATTGGAGCTTTCCTTCAGCAAGGCTTTCCACACAACACACCTGCTGCCTCAAGCAGAATTAACATAAACCTGGCATTTGATCAGCTCATTTCTGTCAGTTCCACGCTCGTTTTTTCTCGGACTGTTATCACTGCGGGCAGTCTGAACTCTTCAGGATGGAAAAGGAGAGATCCTTTCCCAGGCCGAGCTGTGATATGTGCACACACCTCCCCAGAGGGAATTGGGGATTTCTACCTATGGGAACACACCTGGGTAGAGCAGAGGAGGATCCCGAGTCCCAGGGCTGAGGAGCGATCCGGAAYACGTACCGAGGTACCCACACACACCGGAACCCAGCACATGCTCGACAATGCACTGGATTTGAATCATTTCTTTTTTAATTTTTTAAAAAGTGCAGTTGACCTGAAATGGAAAAGAACTGTCTTTTATGTTCACTGTAAACTTGTCAAAAGGAATCTGCTCTTTAAAAACTGTGCTAAAATAGTCGATTTATACAACAGAGCACTAGATGAAGCTACCATAAATTCCTCTTCACCAATTATTACTCTATTGTGTCAGTTATAGTACTGCATATACGTAGAAGAAGCAAAACGGTGGTAGCTACTATTAGTGAGTACAACAAAACCCAGGGGAATAATTCGAGTTCAACGCTCCCATGAAGTAGCAATAACATTTAAACCACAGGACAGTTAGAATTCAGTACTTTGAAGTGCATCAGAGTCACGCTGTTGATCGTCAGCAGTATGGAGCAAGGTTATCAAGAGAGTCAGCAGTAATGGTCTGGGAAGGACACGGGGCAACACGACAGAGCGAGGGGCGGCCCCGGCGGYGTCACTGCGGCGGTGTCACCCGCCAGCAGCACCCGTGCCACCCACGGCACGGCGGGGGAAACAGCCTCTTCCTTCCAGCAGTAGTTGGAGCCCCGCCGGGGGTGGGAGCAAGGAGCAGCCTCTCCTCTCCAGCGCTGCYCTCCGCGCGCACCCAGAGTTCCTGACGCCATCCCGCGCTGTAAACATCGAATCCCTCCTGTTCCCGGCGCCCTCCGGGGCCGCACAAAGTCATTCGTTTCCAAGGGTTCCGGGACGCTCAGGAGCGGCTCTCCCCGTTGGGAACATGGTCGCTGCCTCCTACAGCCCGTTGCTGTTCCTGTGGCTGAGCGGCGGCTTCGACAGCTCGACGACCGTGGAGCGGGATTTATTGAGGAATTTAGGAGCCCGGCGCAGCAACCTCTGGGCCTCGGTGAAAGCCTCTGTCAGCTCTTTTTTCCACTGAACAAACTCGGGGTCGCTCTGCAAGAGACACAGAAGGAGTTTGGCACTTCATGGGATGCGGCCAACAGCGTCTTCTCTCTCTCTTGGACAGCGCTTTAGGGAAGATATTTTAATTTTCCGAGGGAATGAGCAGCTTTGGGTATTGCCCTTGGCTTCTCCATCACCCCAAYGAAGGCTGGTACGGTGTTTTGAGGACTTGAGCACTTCCCCCTTCCACACACGAGCTCCAGCAACTCCCTGCAGCGAGACACGAGCCAACAAGGCCCTCGGAGCGCAAGGAGCTTGAGAAGTTTGGGAATTTTGAGCTATTTAATAAACTAAACTCGTTTTGGCCCAAAATACCACTGAAATCCATGATGGGAACTGGCACAGCTGCGGGTTTCCTGCTTTCAAAACTCAAGTGTGATAAACACTTCAGYTCTGCTCCACCACGTGCCTCAGTTAACATGCAACAGGGCGACCTGAAAAACTCATCAATCGTTTTATCGAATGCAAAACAATTCAAAYGAGTTATCAAAAAACAAGTCTTACCTCACACTGTAGGACAAACTGTTTTCCTCCTTTAATTCTCAGCAAGATGCATTTCTTATCTTTAATTTGTGTTTCTTCAACAGATACTATTTGTTCCATGGTCAGCAGGTTTTGCTGCAGCATTTGCAAAAGAGCCGAGAATTAATTGAAAAAAAAAAACCCTGTTGCCCATCAAATAAAAGCCACTATCTCATTTTCCTGGACTACCCACACGAATTAAGTTATGAACATTAAGAGTCATTACACAAACATTTATTTCTGAAGGCTGGGTCATGAACTAAAGATAGATAGTAAGGTAAGAGAGATTTACAAGGGGCTTGGTTGCTTCAATAGTGACAACGAAATATCAGCTCTAAAAGCCAGTAATGACAGCATGAAATAAGAATCTACAAATAGGTGTGTCTGCAAACAGAATATTCACGATTTTCCCCCAAGAGTTGCATATAATTTGATACATTTTTCAAGCATTACTGTTATTGCAAAAAAAAAAAAAAAAGCCGATCTTACTATTTCAAAGAGCTGAAAGGGAATATTTCAGCACTGAATATTTACGAAGAGAATGTACACAGCAGTGCGCAGGAAAACTCTCCCTATGGACTGCAGAGGACACAATGTCTTAAATTCCAAACCCTTCCTTAACTAAAGATACAAATTATTTGCCCTGAACGTGAGCACRGCTGGGCTACACTACAGCCACTATAGCATTTTCTGGGAAATAAAATGCTATAGCATTTGTCACCTTACCAGTTTGTGTTTTTTTGTATAAATAGTCCAGAGGTCCTAAATGAAAAACAACACCATCAACTACCAAAATCCTTGAAAAACACAACAAAACAAGAGCAAACAGGTTTCTCAAGTCAACTTTACGTCTCCTCCGTGCAGCGTGAGCTACCCAACAATTACAGCGAGATTGGAGTTACTCAAATCCACTGGGCTTTTACTGGGAGAAAACTCCTTCCACAGGAGAATTGGGTGCTCCAGGTGTGTCTCAGCTCCACCTGCCTTCCACCTCTGCTCCCCAGGGCACCCCACTCACCCGGGATTCTCCTTCTCCTCGCCACTCCAGCCGGTTTGGGAAGAGGTAAAAGTAACGYCGCTGCCACTGAGTCAGGAAGGGGTTCCCCAGCTTGAGCATGTATCCGTGCATGATGCAGTCCTTCCCCAGGGCATAATCTAAAGCAAGAGGAGATGTCAGCAAAGCCTCAGGAGGAGCAGCCCAAAGCATTCTCTGCGCACAGGGGACAGAGCGCTGGAGCTGCCGTGCCCTCGGCAGGTTCAGATCACACAGCCCCTGTTCTGCCCAGCTGCTGTGGCTGCAGGGCAGGGACAAACSACAGAATTTGGCTCTTAAAGAAGTGTCTCCCTGGAGGAGGTTATTCAAAGAACTGGGTGCTGCTCTCTGAAGTTTGGGGGTTTGATGCAACGCCCCCGTGGAAGCTGCGGTTTGCTGTGCGGGAATTCATGGGGCCCTTCCCAGCTCCTGGGCAGGAAATCCAACCCCACAGACTGGGAAAAGTGGGGAGGCCCTGGCACAGGGTGCCCAGAGAAGCTGTGGCTGCCCCTGGATCCCTGGAAGTGTCCAAGGCCAGGCAGGACGGGGTTTGGAGCACCTTGGGACAGTGGGAGGTGTCCCTGCCCATGGCAGGGGGTGGCACTGGATGGGCTTTWAKGTCCTTTCCAACCCAAACCATTGCAGGATTCTGATTCCACCAATCTCCTTCCAAAGCCTGATGTCATCATTGAGCATTTCAAAACATTTAAGAAACATCTTAARCAACACGACAGCGATTAAACGAATCCTAATGATTCTTGGGAATGACAGTAACAGGAGCCTGTGGAACTCCAAACCCAGGAATTACTACCTAGCAGCAAAAGAGGAGAGAAGTGTAAGGACAGATTACCTTCCTCGTGGCCAAGCTGCTTATTTTTAGCCCTTTTTCTGGCCTCAATTTTATCTGTGTCTGCATTTACTGCATCATAAACAGTTTCTGCTACTTCTTGCTGCCAACGCTCCGATATTACCAGAGGGAAGTTCTTATATAACTCCTGGTCACTATCAAGCAACTTGCAAGAGAAAAACAACAAAAAACCCAACATTTTAATAACTTTCACTATTCTTATCCCCAACAGTTAATAGTTACCCATGCAACAGCGTTATTTTATAAGATGGATTGGACTCAAACCTTCACAAAACAAACAGATGCAAGCAAGAGAAGCACAGACACTAATTTAAGCRAAGATATTAATTCATGTGCAGAGAACAGACCACCTGCTCAGAACTTGTTTGGATGGATGGCTCAAAAATCCTCACTCGACATTGTCCCATAATGCTCTCTGAACTTCACATTTMARTAATTATTCCAATGTGAGCAGCAGYATTCTTAAYTTCGTTGCACAAAAACTTCCTCAGCACAAAAATTCCATGAATAAGTGAAAAGATACCTTTTCCACAGCAATGMCTTCYGTGCTTCCACAGCTTGGCTTTGTAWCTTAAAAAATTACCCTTCAGAATTCATCAGCATGAGCTGCAGACCTCAATGTTCCTGGTATAAGGATTCTTTTCTCCACTAATCCTTTGAGTGCTTAAACTGAACTGCACTSGAGAAAATAATGAAAAAATTCCACACCAAAAGGGTGGGCAAATTCCACACCAAAAGGGCAGTGCCCATTCCTGGRGGGGTTTAAAGCCATGTGGATGCAGCACCAGCAGCTGCAGGAGCAGCTCTGGCTTCATTCTCSCACTGCAGCCAGGCCAGACATTCCTTGAATAAATATTCTCCTCCTTTTCAGAGCTCCATGGTCATATCCCAGCAGGAAAACACACCCAGGAGACCTCTCTGCAAATGCAGAGAAAAAGGGAAAGGCCACAGGCACCCACTGCTGGCTCCCCAAAGCTCATGTGCTCTTCTCAGGGTCACAGGACACTCTGCAGGATAAATGTAATCCCAGGGAGGGGAGCAAGGTGCTCAAACTGTGGTGCCCAGGGCACAGAGAGCTCCTGGCACCTCRCTGGCAGCTCTGGCCACAGCTGACTCAGGTGGGAATCTCAGGTGGGACKCAATCTGTCCCCTCTGGAAATCTGGGACACCCAGGGAAGGATGTGCTACCCCTCCCTGACTCACCCCAAGGGTAAATTTATCCTCCAGGCAGCCTGAGTTATGAGATTCTGAGATCAAGCTGGAGATGGCACAGCACTGACCTGATGATGGTTCATATTCAGTGACAGAACTCCTCACTAAATCATGTCATCGAGAATGTCTGATCCCCTCGATAAATAAAAAGGCCACTCGGCTCCTCCTTGCAAAATGTTCCTCTGAATTCTGGCAACCCAGAATTACAGCAGGCTGGAATCCTGCTGGGCTGACACTGATGCTGAAGATGTGGAATTTTCTGGTATAAAGAACACCCTGGGCTCCTTGCACTCCTCTGTGCCAACTTCTGTCACCACAGCAGGTGACACTGACAGACGAGCTCCCTTGTAGGCTCACTGAGTACTTAATGGAGCTGTTTGCTTATAAAGTTTAGAACAATTAGTTTCCCTCCTGACTCACTTCTGTATTAACAAGAATAAGGTCTGATCTATTGCAGAAATGGGTGATGAAAACAGTGAAGGGCACTGACCCAACCCTGCTGTCCCAAAGTCCCAGGGAAGCTTCAGAGAGTGGAAAAATTCACAGGGGGATCACCCCCTTCATGTGATTCCCAAAGGGGCCAGCAGCTCTAACTTTTCTCCTTTTTAAATTAAATTTATATTATTTTTATTACATTTTGGATAATATCAAGACTGAAAATTTCTTTTACCACTTTCCTAACTTATACCATTGCTACCATTAGTACAGTTTGTCATTTTTAAGAGTTTTCTCTAATCACTCAATTATTAAAACTATTAAAATAAGGTTTAGCTCYGTTTCTCCAAGCTATCAGAAATAAATCACAACTTTTAAACACACAAACCATTAAGTATCCTTGAAAACCTGAGGCTTTTCCCATTGTTTTCTGATCATTTGAAACACTTCCTTTATCACATGAAAACTTTTGGTAGGAAAAAGGACTTGGCAAGCAACAACAAACAGGGAATCAGCCCGAGATAYCTCTTTGATTTCCCAGCCTGAAGGAATTTCCTGGCACATCCAGAGGCCTGAAGCAAAGGAATGCCACACACACATGGAAAGCCAAGCACAGCAGCCCCAGTGCCACCCTCCAGCACTGAGAGTTGGGTACCTTAATGCCTTTAGTGTCCTCTTCATCAAACGAGCCAATATCAAAAGCATCTGCTGCATTGACTTCTCCCCGGGGAGGAATCARAGGGGGAGGGTACTAGAAAGTAAAAGCAGCATCATTAAAGATAAATTAATGGGTATTATTGAACTTTGTTCTGTAGTTACGCACAACTTTTTTAGTTTTTGCATGGATTACACCTGACTGTGCTAGTCTCCCCCACAATTAAACCTGAGTGCAAAGTTGTTGCCATTTTTTTTAATTAAAGCTCCTTCAAACRTTTGGAGATAAAACACCCCAGTTTAGAGACAGCAAAGCAGAGGAAACCATACACTCATTTGACCCTGAAAATACAACAATTCACTCCTAACAACCAGGAAGATCWGCAATAATGAATATTTATCAACAACCCTCCCTGTATTTGTGTGAGTGAGCTCTGTGACCCTCAACTTTTCTGCTCTGTACTTGCTTGGGTTTATTTTCCTTTTATTGCTTTACCAAGTAAGCTAAAATTACTGTCTTCATCCTTTACCTTCTGTAAATAGACTTGCTGCCAATCAATGCCTTTGAAGAAAGGATGTTCCTTTACTTCTTGTGCGCTGCAAAACAGAAGGGACTGAAGTCAACAAATGAAGGGGCTTTTCAAGTGTATTCAAGAAATACAAAGCCTTCAAAGGTCACATTTCTATCACTTGAGAACATCGGGGAAAATGCTCTTGTTTGCCAGAAAAAATTAAGCGTTCCTAAGTAAAGGGGAGAAGATTTGCACGTGGAAACACTTGGAATTGTGCTCCAGGGCTGGCAGGCAAGAACTCCCGATGGCACTCCATCATTTCCAACAGCAAACAATATTCCTCTGTTGTCAGATCCCAAAAACTGCTCTGTGTCACATCCCAAAAACTGCTCTGCGTCAGATCCCAAACACAGATACAGGTCAGATCCCAAACACTGTTCTGTGTTGACTCCCAAAAACTGCTCTGTGTCACATCCCAAAAACTGCTCTGCGTCAGATCCCAAACACGGACCTGGGACAGAACCCAAACACAGAACTATGTCAGAACCCGAAAACTACTCTGGGTCAGATCCCAAACACTGATCTATGTCAGATTCCAAAAACTGCTCTGTATCACACCTTAAACACTGATCTATGTCAGATCCCAAAAACTATTCTGGGTCAGGTCCCAAAAACTGCTCTGTATCACATCCCAAACACCAATCTATATCATATCCCAAAAACTGCTCTGTATCACATCCCAAACACTGATCTATGTCAGATCCCCAAAACTACTCTGGGTCAGATCCCAAAAACAGCTCTGTGTCAGATCTCAAACACGGATCTGGGCCAAATCCCAAAACCTGTTCTGTGTCAGATCCCAAAAACTGCTCTGTACCACATCCCAAGCTCTGATCTATGTCCGGTCCCAAAAACTACTCTGGGTCAGACCCCAAATAATGCTCTGAGTCAGTCCTCAAACAGCAATTCTTTGGCAGATCCCAATCAACACTTGTAAATAACCAGATCACTCSACACCATTTCGTATTACGTAAATTTTATGGGAAAACAATCAACTGCTCTTGTTAGGCCCCAGGGAAAAGCAATCCCAGGTCATTATCAAAGAGGATTCCAAGACAAAATCCCTTGGAATCTCCCACTGGAACTGGAGCCAGCCCCAGGCTCAGGTGTGACCATCAGGTGCCTGTTATCACACATCCCAATGGTTTCTCAACAGTTGTTTACTCCTCTCCTTGTTTTCTTTCTCAGTGTTYTTAAACAGGAGATAACGATTTCATAAACAGCTACAAGCAAGGTGAGCTTGGCAGGAGCAAGGAGTGTTTTGTAGTCAAGAAACAAAGCAAAAGCTCTTTTTCTTGGAATAATGAAATGGCACGGGCAGCACCAGCAATATTGACAGTTTTTTGCTTGGTGGTTTTAGGATTAGGGTGGGTTTTTTCTGTGTAATATGCTCCTATCGTTACAGATACAATATAAGCAATAAATTTTCCCTATCAGTATGTCTGAGTCAAGTCATATGAYTTCATGCCAAAACAGATCAGGCAAAACCAGAAAAACAACCAAGGGATGAGAAGTAGAACACCACCCAATGCAAGCATGACTGCAGGGAACTCAGGCAAAGGCTTTAAGGACAGAAATTGTCMAAAAAAACATGTCCAAACCAAAGGAAGCTGAAATGTAATTCCATGCAGCAGCACTTTTTAATGTTCTCTTTCCAAAATTAAAATCCTCACAACAGGAAGCAGATTTTTTACTTGAAATGAATTCACTCACTGACAGAGAAGTGGAAATTTTTCAAGGCAGAGGTCCAAGGAGAAGACAACACCTACCTTCTTCCTTGGCATCCAAGCCTCTTGCTCACATCCCGCTGCAGGAGCCCTTCCAGAAGGGACTTCAGCTCGGGAGAAAAGGAATCTGGGAGCTCCACATTCTGTGGAGAAATGAAATACAAAGAGATCATTCCATGATGGAAGTGGTTCTGCTTTCATTTGTCTCGTAATGTTTGTAAACAGCTCTCCCAGGTGCAAATGCAGTTCCAGTTTTTTGGGGGAAATGGGAGCTCAGGGAATATGGGGATGTGACCAGGCCTTACCACGGTGAGCGTCATCCGGTCGATCTCGTGCTTATCTTTGGTTTTGTGCTGCCTGAAAGGGCTGTGCCTGTGGAAAGGAGAAAAAAARTCACAAATAAATGTAAAGGCACAGCATTATCAGGGTATTTCAGCTGTGGCAATCCCAGGAAAGAGTGGAGCATCCTGTCAGTTCCATCCTTCCCCCTCATCAACCCTGTCCTGCAGAACRATCTGATCCACAGGAAGGTGAGCACAGAGTGGGTAATTCTCAGTGATCTGGCCTTGAGGATGTGCTTCAAATGTCTCACCAATTCCATCTGACTCCCAAAACCTGGACAGTTTTCAACTAACAAGAAAACCCCAAGCAGCCATCACCCACAGGGATTTAAATCCATGGATTTATATGGGGAAGCTGAGCATGACCCACTGAACTCACCACCCCTCATCATGGGAGAGTGAAGCAAACCATTCAGGGAAGGTAATTACAGATCCCACAGCATCAGCCACTGGCAAGATATCTGATGGTATCTGCTAAATTATCAGCTTTATCCCTTCCCTGCTTTATAATTCTGGTTTGAGTTTGAATTTTCCTTTAAGCTATGGAAGACYGTGGCACATTAGAGATTTATCACACAGTCCTTCATGAAAGAAAGAAGCAGCATTGTAGTAAGAGATATTTTAATTACATTCAGGATATATTCCCTGCTTCTTTTCTTCGAAACCTTGAGGGGATGACGTTTTTCAAAATCAAATTGTTATTCATTTATCAATTCCATTAATTAGCTGTTCTAAAGCATTCTGGCTCACCACATGGCAGAGTGTACCAGCATGTTTCAACTGGAGACTCACTACTCCCAAGTTATTTTCCTTTTATCCTCAAAAATGTTCTGATGGATKAATGCAATGGACAGACCAGGACTTCAATTTTTCTCTTTTTAGTGTGACAGGTAAATGGTTCCCACACAGCCTCATGTACTCTGACAAGGAGGCTCTGAGCAGATCAGGGAAGCAAATGATTCACTGGGGACTTCTGGGCAGATTCTGTGCCAGACTAAATTCACCAAACACCAAGAAATGGCACSATGTGCCCAGCCCTTGTTCTGGGATTGTTTAACTGGCTTCAGAACAGATGAGGAACGAGAGCTCACCGTGAATAATGCTCTGGCTTCTGGCTGAGCACTGAAACCATCCTGAACATCTCTGCCAGAGAGAATCACAGCCCAAAGCCTGGCAATTTAAACACCACTCCTTTCTTTATTTGCACATTTACAGAGTCTGTTTTGTGCACAATTAGTGTTAAATTGATAGAGTTCTGGAGTTCAAGTCACAAGTTACACACTGACCCTCCTTTGTAAATGGTCTGGATGGAGATAAAAGCTGATAATTAATGATGTGTGAGGACACGGGATGACCTAATGATCAATCTTCACAAAGAAACACCATGAAAAGCTTCAGATTTATTCTGGYTTGCCATTAACAGTGAGGATGCCATTTTCAGCAAGCACTTGCCCATCAGTGCTTGCTGAGTGCTCAGATAAATCCCAYGGTATTAATCAATTCTAGATACCCAAGTTTAATGAGAAGGAAATTGCTGACAAAGCTGTAATTACCATCTACCTTTGGACACTGATAAGGTAACGGGCTAGATTCAGCAAATGCAAGGATCCACACTTTGTACCTGACCCAAACCCTGCAGGAGGGAAGGCTGAGTGGCACAAAAAGGGCCCAGTGCAGCCAAAAGCTTCTCCACAGCACCAGGTCTGAGCTTAACACAAAGCCCACATTTAACAGGGCTGCTTAAGAARTAACATCACAGCATTTAGAATGGTACCAGCTGCCAAGAGAGGAGTGAATTGCTGTCAGCAGCAGCTCAAAGAGCAGACAGAGGACCTGTCTTCCTCATCCCACATCTGTAGCTACCACAAGAAGCAAGGTTTGGGTTTGGTTTGATTTGATTTGAAGAAAAAGCCTGGGTCAGCCCCACGTGTGGACATGGGTCAGCACTGAGGGAACAGTCCAGACAATCTGTGACACAGCACATCCTGCTATTCCAAGGGACATCCAGGGAGGTCCCCAGGCTTCCATGGATAAGACAGGAGTTCCACTCACCCCCTCAGCAGCTTGAAGAGCATGCAGCCCAGGGAGAACCAGTCGGCGCTGCTGTCGTAGGCTGTGCCCTTCTGCAGCACCTCGGGGGCCATGTACCCGTGGGTTCCTCTGCAGAGCACAACAGCACAAAACATTCATTACATACAGCACTATCACTGAAAAAAAACCAGTAAAAACCACTGTTCCTCCAATGAGACAGCCCAATTTGAAAAGAATTAATTGTAACTGCTTTATTTTGCTTCCAGTGGGTTACACGTGTCCTTCCTGAGCTCACCCCGGGCACCACAAGAAGCAGCCAGCAGGTATTGCTTCTACCCTTGACATTATCAAAACCCGTGGACTTTTTTCAAGAAGCTACTGAATTGCAAATCTCCTAAGGTGTGACAGGCTGGAGTTTCCCTTTTTGCATAAATACCGAGACTAAATCAGGGCAAACGAGGACCTAAGAATAAAACGTGTCAGGTAAGATGTAAATCCACACACAACTCTGGGAATTCAGATCCTGATGGCAAGAGGCAGAAAGGAACATAATTTGCCTCCAGTTCTACAAAAATCCAGAAAAGAGAAAGACACAATAAATCCAGGAATTTACTCAGTTTGGGAATATTTAATTATCCGGTTGGGACAACTGAAGCAATCTGGTCCTTTAAYTCAGTCAGGTTCTTCACTGAGCAGTGAATCATCCCGAAATAATGTGTCATCTCCCAGCCATGCCTACACATCAGCTGCTACAACTGTGCAGGAAAACAGCGAGAGGAGCCCAAAAATCCTCATTAGAGCCTCCAGCTCAGCAAGCCTGGGCCACACAAGTGTCATTYCTCCCTTTCAGGCAAAGCTGAGTTAGAAAGATAAATTCAGGATGTATTTAGCACCACCTGTATGTGCAGCAAAGCTCCCAGAATAATACTTACACGCTGGCGTGTGGCTTCTTTTTGGAAAAGTCACAAGCCAGCCCAAGGTCTGATATCCTCACGTGCCCRTGTTCATCCAGCAGGATATTTGCAGGCTGGAAAGCAACACAGGGAGATGAATGCTTGGTATTCCCCAGCTGACACAACTGCAAATCCTCACAACACAGCAACTCGAACATCAATACTCCCTGGGAACTGGTAATTGCTTTTTTTTTTTGTATTTAACATCAATATACCAGGCACTTCCTAGATAAAAATCTACATTCTCACAGAGCACCACTATCAACTCCACAGGTTATGAAATAGTGAATAAAAGAAGAGAACAACCAGGCAAGGTTTGAAACACAAAGCAGGTAATAAATGAATAATCCATTCTGGCCTCAAGTTGCTCTTGGATTTTTCTCAGCAGGGTCTGTGTRGCTCTTACACCATTTATTCTCAGGCTCTGGGCAGATTTTCATCCCCTTGTGCTGTCACTTGGACCCTTCTTTGGGACCTGTCCTTGACTTCTCAACTGGCAGTGAAACATCCCCATCAACTTTCCTACACATACAGAGGCCTCCTTCTGGGCTCCCAAAAATACAGAATATCCTCTAAATTATCCCCATCAGGGAGCTGGGGAGATAACACTGCACAGGATTTTCTGTGACCCCAAGGAAGCCTCTCCCGGGCTGGTTAAACTGGATTTAAGGCCCAGATTAAAACGACTCTGAAAAGTTATTACAAAAACCAGGCAGATCAAGAAATAATCCTGCCAAGGAAAGGTTTCAGGTAAAGTAATCCATGGAAATTATGTGGATGCAGGTAGCCAGCAACCATTACCTTCAGGTCTCTGTACACCACGAAGCGATTGTGCATGTGCTCTAACCCCAGGATGATTTCAGTAGCATAAAACCTCATCTCTTTTTCAGAAAACACRCCGTGCTGGGAGAGGTGGTAGTGCAAATCTCCTCCTGCAACGAGAAGAATTGAGGTGTAATTAAATGAACAGTAAAATCTCACCCTGCAGGCAGAAGGGGTAACATTGTGGGGGAACAGCACAGCTTTTGTAGGTTCTTATTGCCTGTGGAGCACGCAGCCCCACCCTCTGCAAGTCTAGGTGGTGACAAAACAGCTGAGAGAGTTCATACAGAGATTTGATCAGTCTGAAACTCCATTTTAAAATGCATTTATTTCATAAACATTTGCATTCRGTGACTAATCCAGCAGAGGATTTCCACACAAGGAAAAGGCTGTACCACACACCAGTTTGTGGAGAGCTGAATAAATCAGCTCACAAAGCAGCCTGGGCTTGAGGGAACAACCATGGCAGCAATCCTGTCAAAATTCCTGTAACACCATCATCATCATCMTCATCATCMTCAACCTGCACAGGTCTTGCTTACCATTCATGAGGTCCAGAATGAAGCAGAGCTTGTCAGGGGTGTGGAAGGCATAGGTCATACAGACTATAAAAGGACAGTCCTGTAAGGAAGAACAGAGAGGTTCACCTTGAGCAAAAAGCAAAGTGTGATTTAGAGAAGCTAAAAACACCTTTGATATTTTTCCTGTGCTGTTTGCCAATGTTGCCAACTTCCATCCTCACTCCTGAAATGCAGCTGTGCTGGTGACACCCTGTGAAGGTGTTTGGCCCCCCATCAGATTTGCAGCAGAGGACTGAAGGAATGTGAACACACCAGGCAAGAAGTTGGGGCTCTGGAGCATCACAATGCTTGGGAAGCAGCAACAGCAATGTCCAGATTGTGCCAAACCCACAGCACGAGGGTGGTGGCTGCAGGTTTAGGAGAACACACCTGAACCTCAATCCATTCCACGTTGAAGCCAAGCAGCCATAAAAAAATCCACTGGAAAAATACCTCTTTATTGCCCAGGTCTGCTCAAGTACTGCTACCTCCATGACAAACATTCCAAACCCCACAGCTGCTCTGGCAGATCTTCCCCTGCTCTGGGCCAGTGCTGGGTGCAGGTGATGGAATTGCCAAGGCTGGAAAAGCCCTCTGAGATCACCGAGTCCATCCCCCAGCACTGCCATGGCCATCACTGACCCACGTCTGTGAAATCCCTCCAGGATGTGAGGGGAGCTGTGCCAGGGCTGGAGAACCTTTTCCATGAGAAATGGGCCAGCTCTGCTCCTGCTGGCCACACTGCTGCTGATCCAAGCCACGAGCCTTGGCTGATGGACACAATGAGTGGCCACCACCTCAGCAACTTCTCCAAATGGAATGCTTCGGGTTGAGAAGGATCTTCAAGCTTATCCTATTCAATCCCTTGCCACAGGAAGAGACACTTTCCATGGAAACCAAGGCTGTTTGGGAGTCTGCAGTGAACCCTTCAGCAACGGCTGGGCTGCCCCAGAGATCCCAAATCTCCAAGAGGGGCAGAGGGACGATCCCAAAGGAGCCCAGGACACCCTGCAGGAAGCAGAGCGTGGCCTCACGTGACTCCAGCAATGTGCTGGGCGTTGCAGGACCGACAAGGAAAGCTCTGGGAATCTCGGACAGGAACTCGCTCCCTTCCCAATTTAGAAACAGCAAAACACAGCGGCCTTGGGCCGGCTCCGGAGAGAGGAAAGGGAGGGACAGGCACACTTCAGAGCCTCCTCAGCCTTCCACAAGGTGGAAATATCCAGGTTTATAGACCTGACTGTAATCCCAGTGATCCCCATAGTGTTTGGGTTCATCATGCCCTGCTCCAACCCAAATTCACTTTTATGTTTTGCTCACTCCCTGCAGAGAGGAGGGACGGGTGTGAAACACCTGCACAGCACCCAGGAAAAAAGCCAAACTCCTAAATGGCCTTAAAAATAAAGAACATGATGTGGTGTCTAACACAAGATACCACCTCTGGTTATGAACTCTGTGTTGGGGACTATTGTRGCTGCCACTTCACTTCACAACAACAGCTTTAGCAGAATTATTAACTTAATTTCCYGCATCGACTGGGTAATTCAGAAGTGTCCCCAAGCAGGACTCTTAAAATCTCACAGCAATCTAATTACCCGGAAGGATTTAGTGGAAGAATTTAAACACCACACATAGACAAATAAAAGGGTTTTTCTACTCCAGAACGTTCCTGCCTGTATTTTTATGAGTTTTAAAAATAAAAGTTATCTGGAAGTGTAAATGTGATGCATAGCTCATTTTTGTGCAAGCATTCCTAATTTCATCATTACCCTCTCCCTGTTTAACACAGAGAAAAACTGTACTGCAGTCTTTTCCTGACACAAAAACCACAGCAGAAGAGTATTTTACAGCACAAATATTAAAAAAAAAATCCTAGAGTTATTTTTTTAAAGGACACATGCAGCAATAAAATGAATTTCCCAAGAGAGCAATCCTTCATGGCAGTCAAGTTTCTCCTCAGATGAAAATAAGCAACATTATGACATTAATGTGTGAATTAAGAACAGTTTGGAAAGAGCTCCTTACATCCAAACAATCCTGGATTGAGTCCAGAGAACTGCTGAAGTCAGATTTGCAGTCATAAATCATGTGGAAGAAAAAAATATTACAACAGCCATTAAAAAATGTAAGAAGATGATATTTTAAAGACATTAGCAAATTAAAAAGTGCTTTAGGAAGAAACCTTTGGTTTTTCACTCTTCCCTGAAAGCCAAGCATTCGGCTTTGGGGCACAAAGTGACAGCAAACAGGGACAGAGGTGTTCAGAGCACAGAGCAGCTGTGTCCCATTTTAACTGGAGGGCAGCTCTGACCTGGCATGTCACTCAAAGATGTGCCAGTCACTGCTTGAAATATGTGAAATCCTGTTTTGCTCCAAAAAAAAACAGATTATTGATCTCCGAGGGTTATTGCTCCGTGCTCACGGTGGGTGGGACTCCCAGGCAGGACCCTCCAACTGAGGATATTCCAGCATTCTGGGATTGTATTTATCATCCCTTGGAGGGCATCTTGGATCCAGCCATCTGCAAAATTCTCTCCAGAAGATCTGGGTAAGGCAGCTGAACTGTTTGAGGTTTTTCAGAAGGAACAAAACTGGGAGCCACAACAGAGAGGAACTCAGAACCCTGCAAGGCCCCTGGTCTTGCAACAGACAGATGGAATGATGCCCTCCTACCCTCAGGAAAAGATTCATGGAATCACCACTTCCTTCCACAAACAGCACCTTGGGGCTGGCTGGTTTCACAGGGTCCATCACCATCCTGGTGATTTCCAYGGTCCAGTTTTTAAACAGAAATGAGGCAAATATTGGCTGCTACGAGAATTAAATATATTTTAACAGAAAGTAAAAATCTTTTCCCTACTCTGTGACCTTCTGAGGATTTCACAACCCCTTTCCAGCCTGAAGGTCTCTGTGGGAGGGGATGATGGGGTCTTGCAGAAGAGGAAACCCAAAGCTCAGTGACAGTTTGTCCCCGTTACACCACAGTGACACAGCAAAGSCACCACTGGAGCCCGAGCCCTGCAGAGCCACCAGGCCCATCYAAGATGCTCTGCAGAGGTGCCTGTTGCACCCCTGAACCTGATGCCTGATGATTTTTACCTTTTATGATCCCTTTTATATATTTTCTATACCCGTTTAAATTTAYATACCTTTTATATTTTCTGTACCCTTTCTATATCCCTGTATATAGCCTACATACTTGTAACTCTTATAGCCTGATATTCTAACTTAATTTTAAAATTCTGCTAAGCAGAGAAGCCAAACATCCTCAATAAAAAGTCAATGTGCCCTGTGCTATCTTCAACCTGAAGGTTAGAACCTTCTCTCTAAAATACACTGTGTAAACTAAGCTCTGAACTCATCCCAAAAGGAAGTTCTTTAAAAAAAGAGAACATTACTTCATCTATTAAAATTCTTATTAAGAATTGTAAATAAATATACTAATTAGTAAAATCTATAAAACTTGTATACATCCTATATGCAGTGTGCATTTTCCAGTGGTTTTTTTTTTCCATTCTGTCGAATTGTGCACATGAAATCCCATTAAACTCCTGAGGTAAAACCCTTTTATCCCCTTAATTGTGTCTTGTCTCATAATTAAAAATTAGCCCTCAAGACAACAAACCCACTGGAAATGGGGAATTTCCATGGCCATAGAAAGCCATTCCCATCACACAGMCACAACAGATCCCAGCATGGGAAGCTCCCTGCTCCAGGAATGCCAGAATTGAGGTGGATGAGCAGAACTGATTGCACAACCAGCTGTGTCATCTGCACAGCTGTTATTGTGCATTTTGCACAGACATCTGCATTCCCAGTTCAGTGACTTCATTGTACCCTGATGAACTTCCCAGCTCCATCCTGCTCTGGGCAGAGCAGAGCTCCCATCCCTGGGCACAGCACGTGCTGCTCCAACCTCCCAGCTTCTGTTCAGGGATTATAGGAATTCTGCYCCAAGSTTCTCTCCAGCTCTCCTGGAGGCYCTTTAGGTGCTGGAAAGGGCTCTAAGATCTCCCTGAAGTGGAGGATTTTCAAGGTGAGCCCCCTGAGAATGATCCCCTGATCTCTGGGAACACAGCTCTGGTCCCTGAGAGCAAATCCCACAGTTTGCTCTCTGCCCCTGCAGGGAATTCTRCTCTTGTACAAGCCTGGAACAAAAACCACACACGGTTCCTCCTCATCCCCCTGGCTCCTTCCACGCCTGCTGCAAACGGGGGATGTGTTCCCACACTGAGTGTTTAATTCATGCACCACAAGGTGAGGGAAATGAACCTTCCTGCCAGCATCACCTGTAGCCATGGCAACCGTGGTGTCACTGAAATGAGGGCAGAGCCACCTCCCATCCTGCCTGGAATTTCTCTGAGCCCAAAACACCTCAGCCACCACCAGGCAGSTGCTGGCTTTTTGCACATACCCATGATGGTTTCAACTTCAACAAGATTTTCGTTTTAATTAAACCAATTTTAAGCCAGTTTATAAATAGATTAGGCAAGCAGATTGGCTTGGTACACCTTGACTCAGCTAAAGGACATAAAAAACAGAAAGGGAAAAAGTGGATATCAGAGTAAGAGGAAAGGGAGGATGAAGTTTTCTCTGCAGGAGCATTTCAGGTTCTAGAAAAGTACTGTGTAACTACAGCAAAAAAAAAAAAGGAATCTTCTTTTACAAGGAAGAATCGTGTTCTGCAAAAGTTTCAAACAGAAATACTATTAAAAATGTGTTTTAAAAGTCAGGAGGGAGGGGAAGATGAATTACCTCAGAAATGGGCACCCCCTCAAGCCTCTGCAGCAAAGATGCTCATTCTGTAGGACCCAAACTGACAAAGCAAGTTTGGTTTTCCCTTCTCACTTCAGACACATTGTGAAAATCAGGGGGAGGCTCCAGTGGGGGTTAATTTTTGCACCTCACACAACTGAATTGATGGAATATGCATTATATGTAACAGCTTTTACATTATATGGCAGAAAGAAAGAGTAACAAAYGGTGRTACTTACTCCTGTACTGACAAGAGACAGCATAATTCTTTCATTTAAGGCTAATGTTTCTCCTTGCTTCATCTTAATTCTCTTCTTATCTAAACATTTCATTGCATACCTGAAAATAAAAACCAACCATTCAGAAAAAGCATCAAAAAAACTCCTCTGTCAGTGTTATGCACTGGCAGTCAGGCCATGTATATTTACAGGATCCTGTAGGCAAACTCTTGAAAGCCTTAAACCAGGACTAAAAACATCATTTCATGCTAAACACAAAACCTCCAAAATMTCCCAGAATTACCACATTTCCAGCAGAGGCCTCCTAACAGAGAAATGTGCTTTAACAAATAATTCCATGTCCAAACCATCACAGCAAGATAGGAATTACACAACATATATTCATTTTCTCATACCTACAAGCAAGGATCTGCCACAGGAATTAAATAACAGAGGCTCTGTTATGGTTCCATTTAATTCCAACAGTTTCAGCTCTACCAGGAAAGCAATATCTTGAACACACGCTGAGTTTTTCATATATATATATATATTTCTTTTTCCTTAATTTTCTTTCTACTCAGAAAAAGGTCAGATACACACAAGAAAGCTTTTTTAGTCTTCCACCATCTGTGCTACACAAATTAATAAAATTGTGCTCACAAAAGGATGTTACCCTAACAACCACCAAGCATGGGAAGATGTGATACAGGCTGGGTATTTTTCCAAGATCTTGGGTGAGTTCATTAATAGCCAACAGTGACAAGGACACGTGTGTTCCTCCACAGAAGGCTCCCAGACATCCATGGATTTTTAGGAAAACATCACCAATCCCCTGCCTCACTGTGCCAGTCCCATCCAGCCCCAGGGCCTCACCTTGGCTGCAGCTCCCCAAAAACAGCCACRTCATTTGTGACATCAGTGTGCTGGGAGCGGGGGAGTGAGGGTGAATTTTAAATTTCCAGACTGGGAATTTATTCATGTGCTYTTGCTGAGGAGTCTGTGAAGGGTGAGTAAAAATAACCCCTGAATTCCTGCCCTGCTCTGCCCTGAGCAGAGAGAGAGGGACTGGGGATGTTCAAGGTTGATGGAAATCACAGAATCATGGAATGGTTTGGGTGGGAAGTGACCTTAAATTCATCCAGTGCCACCCCCTGCCATGGGCAGGGACACCTTCCACCAGCCCAGGCTGCTCCCAGGAAAAAGCAGGCTGGTCTTCCCACATTTTGCTCCATTTATATCTGATAAAATATCCTTTCTCTGATAAAATATACTTTGCTTCACTTTTYCTGACCTTCTCACTTCCCAAGGTTTATCCACCTCCTGCCAGAGCCCTACTCAGACATGAAGGATGGCTGAGACTCTGAAAACTGCCTGCTGAGYGTGCCTCAAGCTAAATAAAATGTTTATTTTTGTCCACGGACAGATGAATGAATTGYACATGGACAAAAAGTACCAAAGCAGGAATAAAGCCAGCGTTGTTAGTAAGAGTATGAATATAAATACTCCAAGTCAGAAATACTGAATATAATAATAGCAACATTAAGATGTCTTCCACTTGTTGAGAGTCAGAGGTTTATTATTATCAGGGATGTCAGGCACACAAAAGTGCCAGCTGGAACCAGAAACGAGGCACTTCACACATGCCCTGCTCACGTGGAAGGGAAATGTTTAAGGATGAAATTGTTAGGAGAAAAGCAAGATGAAAGGGTGGAGTGAAAATAAAGAAAAGAATTGGTTAAATACATGCTCAGAACATAATGGGATCTAGAAATGGTATCTGATGATCAGGGGAGGTGTGTGAATGATAAGGTCATGAAAAAAATAAAAAACCACCCAGCACAGAACCTGGAGCTTGCACAGAGAGCTCCATGAAGCACAAGCCCAGCACTGGGATCTGCCCCTCCAAATGGCAGCAGGGATCACTGCTTCCACCACCCAYGGGGCAGGCACTGATGCAATTCCCCAAATTGGGAACAGCACGCTGGGAATGGGCCCTGGCACAGCCCTGACAGTGGTTCCTGCAGTCACCTGGAGCAGGTGACACCTGAGCAGACACCCATGGGTTCCACAGGGACATCCCTCTGCCCTGGCAGCCTCTGATCCTGGGAATCCTTGGAGCACACACCTGATTTTAACTCATGTGCATTTTCCAGAGGTTTTGACAGGACATTTCCATTTCCAGCCCAGGAGCTGTGTGAGACTCAGCCCCTGCATGGCACAGAACAGGATCCAAGAGCAAGCTCAAGTGAGCCAGGAATCAAAACCTCTGGGGATAAAAGTCCATTACAAAGAACTTTACAGCAATGTTGACGCTGCTGCTTTCCAGTGATTTCCTAAGAAATGATTGGAAGGATTTCCTCACTAGTCCAGAGTTTACAATCACCTCTGCCACACAGCATGGGATACTCACATTTTTCCAGTGTCTGCTTTTCTGCAGCCGTACACTTCACCRAATCCCCCTCTTCCTATTATTCTATGTACACTAAAATCATTCATGGTCAGCTGCCAATGGGAACAGAAACAAACAAAACAAAACCTTCATTTTTCAGCATTAAAAAACTTACTGTGAAAACATCTAAATGATCTGTGAATGTGTTGAGATCCTCAGCTGTAACTCAACAGCATTTATTGTGTCAGAAAAGGAGCCCCTTACTGTTGATATTTCAATGTACTGGGAAGTCCTACAGTRTGAAGTAGAAACAAGAGGAATGAGGCTGCTGCTCCCAAAAACTGCCAGGCTCCTTCAGGGCTATTTTTGCAGCTCAAGTTGTGACAGAGAAGTGCAAAGGGACAAAAGCAGAGGCCAAGGAAAGGGGCTCCGAGGGCGCTGGGATCATGGCAGGACTGGAGTGGGAAAGGGAGATGGACTGAGGCTGATGAAGAGCAGCAATTCTGGCAGCTCAGCTCTTTTAGCCATTAAAAAATCAAAATTCTATTAAGTGAGGAAGGCAGAGGGGACGTCCAGACAGGAATCATCATCAGGGCTGTGCCTAAGAATAGCAGAGCAGTGACATCCACCACCCTCCTTAATGAGGCCTTTGCAGAGCAGGATTCAAAACTGAACATTCTCTTTCCTGTATCAGCCTCTGACAAGATAAATATACTTGTAAGTACTTACATGAATATTTAGCTCTACATTTTTCCATTGACAAAACCTAGTAAACTTGTCACTGCAAAAAAAAAAAAAAAAAGAAAAAAAAAGAAGTTTAAAAGTTGTCTGAGACTATTGTGTAGAGTATTACAGGAAATGTCAAGGCTCTGATATTTAAAATCTAGTCTGAGCTAGGGCGTGGGGTGGTATTTAATAAATGACAGCCTTCCTTTCACCAACTGTAATCTTACCCCCACCAAGAAAAACAATTCCCAGGCAGAGCACACTCCATGTTTGACATCCTTGGGAGAGAAAAGAGAGCAGATAACCTTCTCCCTGCGAGTGCTCAGTGTGTCCCCACATCTCTCTTGCAGATGGTTTTCAATTTTTAAACAACCACGTTTGGAACTAAGGAACATTTAAATTACATCAGGAGAAAGATAATTATAAGAAAACAGAGGCAGCTCGATTTATGTTAATGAACCTCCAGATACTCCAAGGAACATTTTAAACTCATTTTATCTTAAAATAGGAAAAACATCAGTAATACCACAGGCTTGGGGGAAAAAAATAAAATAGTTGCTTATTCCTACATGAATAATTAAGTATTTATTTTCAAAGTATGAAATAACAGCTTTATGGAGGCATTTTTATAATTATGACAGAATGGCACCAAACCAGTTTAGAGTGGATTTGGATGTTCCTGGATGGCAGCTGAGCTTTCCAGAGCCTGACAGGAGCAGGAAAGGGCTGAGCCAGGCCTGTGCCTTCAGTTCTTTATGACACCTTCATTTCAAGGGGCCCACACCAGGGATGGGCACTCACAGAATATTCCCAAAACCCGAGTTTTACCCCTTAGAGCCCAAATTTCAACCTCTCACTGCTGGGACTGAGWAATCCCTCAGCTCTCCAGCTGTTCCAGTCACACATCCTGGCACTAATCAGGATATCCCACAAMGCTGGGTATTCACAAAGCTTTTTGATTAATAGTGTATTAATTCACATTTTCAGCCTTATTTACAGCAGTACTGAAGGGACCTGGCTTCCCACTACATTAGGCAGGTAATTCASGTAATAATCCATGTTCATACCTTTCCATAAATTTTTGAAATATTTTTCCTCGGAGACTATCACAAATTTCTTCTATATATGGCTAAAAAGAGTGAGGAAACACAATTAGTATTTAAGCAGACAATAAATGGCTTTTTTTCAATCCCAACCATTACAAATGGCCCCACGTAGCTCCAGCACATCCTGGGTCATCCTTAAGAAGCCTCAACGAAGCATTTGTGCTTTATTTGGCTTTTGGAATCTGAGCAGGTGCCCTGAAGTCAAACATAAAACGTTTTTCGTGAACTAGAAAATCTTTAGGGTTTGCCAGGGGTGGGGGGCAAAAAGTTCTTTTTTTTTTTTTTTTTCAAATGTATTTAAATAATACATTGTCACCCCTGTGGAATCCAAACTCCCTCATCTTTGTGATGCTTCCCTCCTCTCTGTCCCTGCTGAAAGATCAGGGAAATCCCTCCCCTGGGTTTGTGATGGCCAAAGTCCCCCCATTCCATGCTGAGACACCCCCCAGCACTGCAGGCACCACTTTCCATCTCATGGCAACAGCCAGAACAGCTCAGGAGCACAAGAGAGATCAGGCAGGGGCAACCTCCACATTTTTTTCAGCATATAAAAATACATCAGATTAAAGATAAAAGACATTCAACCTTACAAACACCCCCATGATGGGTAAGAAAATTTCTCCACTGCTGCAGCTCGGTTCACCCTGACAGGAGRAGCATCCTCCTGATGCAAAGTGATTTACTCTAAATCATTTAATGGCTTAAAATTACACAACTATAAAAACTCTTCTGCTCACACACCAAGGTATAGTTTGCCTTTCTAAAYGTGCTCAAAAATATTACAGATAAGAGCAAATTGTAATTTTGACTTGGAAAAGCATTTCAGTCCCGCTTAAGGCACAGAATACGTACCAGTCCCATTTATTCTGTCTCYTTAAATAACATCTACAGAGTCACTTTCTGTCAGAGAAGCTGAACRTTCAGACTGTGAAAGCTCACCTGGAAAAGGCTGGCTGGCACTTGTTTCTTGGCTAAATGTGTTTGTACATGATCTACAGCTTGTTTTGAGAAAGGCTTTTGGAARAGAAAAAGAGAGATTTCAAACAGTTGGAACTGTCAGGAGTTTTCATTTCAGGTCACAGCATTGCTGTTCTTTCCCCCAMATGGAAACACCGAGCCCAGGGGGGATCAATAGGGCCTCCCACAGGTACATCAGAGTGAATGGGAGTGTGAAATGTGCAGAATGATCCCATAACAGGATTATTCTGAAACTGAAAGGYAGGAGAGGGGGAGATGGGGAGGAAGGTAAAAATCAAAGGGGGTGATGATCCTCCTTTAGCAAATCCATGAAAAATCCCATTTACTGGGACAGCTCCAGAGCCAGAAGCAGGCATGGACTTTTTATCAATAAAATAATGCATTTTTGAAAAAAAAAAGAAGCACCAAAAAAACTTAAACCCTGCACCCAAAGCATGATACTACCAGGGTACAACATCCTGCAAATCTTTCTTTCAAATGAGAACACATGGAACTGTTAAGAACAGATCAATGGGCCCAAAGTTCAGCTGGAGGAAAAATGCATTTTCAGTGACTTTAGCCACCATGTGCCACATCTCTGTACACACACTTATTTCATCCTTTTGGAAACAGAGATTTGGTCTAAAGAGAAAAAAATCTAAATAAACCAGATAAATCTCCTGATACTTCCTTTGCGGGCCAGCTCATGGCAACAGCCAGAACAGCTCAGGAGAGATCAGGAAGGGGAAACCTCCATGCTTTTTCAGCACATAAAAATACATCTGATTTAAATAATAAAAATGGCAATAGATATTAGATAATGAAAATAGATATATTTTTTATCTACAGACAATAAAATTTATCAATAGATAATAAAAATTGTTCAATAAAAATTGCAGCACATAAAAATAAAATAAAATAAAATAAAAAAAGCAACATTCTGAATTTGGCCGAACCCAAAGCCTGGATTTGAAAGGGAAATGCAGAGCATCCTCTGGATGGAGGAGCAGATGCAGGCAGGGGGAAAAGGGCAGGATACCCACGTGGGAACAGGACAGCAGCTCCTTCATGATGTAGGTGTCGTAGATCTGCCGGCTCCGCGACAGCCGCTCCTCCTCCGAGTCCAGCTTCTCRTACTCCTTGATCTGCAGCACAGGGGCAAGCACACACCACAAATTCCTAAGGATTTCTCACTCTTTGGGTYAAAACAGGGCTTTGGCTGAAGTTTKGCTTTATAGTTTTCTTTAGSAATGAAAAATCGCCTGTGAGAGCACAGTTGCAGCTGAGATTTCCCTTTAATAGCAGAATTTTCCAGCTGCACTGGTGGAGTTCCCATCCCTGCAGGGATTTAACAGGATGTGGCACTTGGGGACATGCTCAGTGGTGGCCTTGGCAGTGCTGGGTGGACTCRATGGGCTGAGAGGGCAATTCCAACCCAAACAATCCCCTGATTCTATGCTCACAGAACATCAGGTAGAGATGTCTGAGAAAGAATATAAAGCACCTTTCAGAATGTTCACATAGTTCAGCTACAGGGTGGATTTGACCCCTAAAGGTGGCTAGAAGAGAATTTTACACAATATATCGAGTTTCCTCAGGTGTGCTGCAGGAGAGCAGCATGTTCCAGGTGAAACAACAGCAATCCCAGACGGTTCATTTACAGAACACAACCCGACAGCCAGTTCCAGAACAAAAGGTTCACCAAGTCCAAGGGTCCTCTGGAGCACATTTAGGGAAAGAGTTCTTCCAGGAGTGACAKAATGTAAAACAAACATGCAAGATCTTTAGGGGAAAAACTCAGCTYTTGACTTCTTGGACCTTCCTAGCATGAGCCTGTGAGGTTCTGGGACCCAGAAACCTCTCAGTGAGCAAATCTGCTCCGTGCCACAGAATCCCAGGATTGCTTGGGTTGGAAAAAAAMCCTCYAAGATCATCAAGTCCAATTATCAGGAGACAAACTGGGACCAAGCTACCTCTGGAGGTGGAACATTAATTAAACTCAGTATCTTTCTAGCTGTACTCCTCTTGTTTGCTGTCAGGATAAGGCACCAGTCCCGCCCCAATGTGCCATCTGTGCTGCTTCCCCCTTGATACCAATTTATAATTAAAACGACTCAAAACGTCTTTGGCCAAGAAACATTTCTAATTAATGCAACGACACAAAATAATTAGCGGTACAGGAGGAAGCCTGATAGATATCTGATTGTCCTACTCCAGCACAACCTCCTGTCTCACAACGTTTGGTTGTTAAAGGACCCAGTTCTGGGGTTTCAGCAGAGAGAGAGACCCTGCTTTTCCCCTGAGGTTTGTAACCACAGTGCCTTCGTCCTGGAAAGGTTTGGGGAGCAGGACAGGAGGTGACAGAGCTGTCCCCACAAAGCTCATCACACAAACGAGAGATCTGAGCCCTCTACTGAGAGCACACCGTGACATCTGCACCAGCTCGTTCACAGGGTTAGAAAAGAGAATGTTAGAATGTTCCTGCCCCATCCCAAAAAGCCCATCCCAAAAACCAGCAGTGGGTACAACTGGGAGTGTTCCCCTATAACACAGCCTGWCCCTGGGCTGCAGCTCCACTCCTGACCCCGTGAGAAGGGAATGTGTCACCCAAGGCTTCCCTGGAAACCTCCAGCAAGGGAAGGATTCCTCCAAAAGGATCTCCTCCAAAACCAGGATCAGAACACGTTTATTTTCAACTATTTAGAAGATTTTTTTTCCCCTTTTTTTCCCTTTTTTTTCCTCTTTTTCTTCTTAAATTCCTTTTCTTTTCCTTCTGAAACCGATGGAGATGAATCACTCATCCTGTTAAATGCCTGATCGTGACTCCAGCGGCAGTGATATGAAATCCCTGGAGTATGGAGCTCTTCTACATCAAGCAATTTTTAATGTAGCAATGTACTCAGATTATTCTATGTGTAATAAATGCAGCAAGTAAATCAAATATATAAAAAAAAAGGAAAAGCTCCTGGATCCGGTATGTCACAGAGGAAAACACAATGAACCTCTCTTTAAATATCTTTAATGGGATTTTTCCAAAAGTACATGACAAAGCACTGAAATTCTTTTGAGGCAACACTTTGCTAATAACCTAAAAATACAATTTTGAATTGTTTCAAAGATAAAGAAGCAGCTAAAAATATCTTGCTAAATAATCTGGTACAACAGGCCTTTTTGGATTACTTATGACAGTGATATCTTCAGGGTATAAAGAGATGGAAATGATAGAAAAAGATTCTTTATTGACAGCAGGTATCTGATCTGAGCAGGGGAATGGGGTATTGCTGAAAACTGATCTCCAAACTGATAACAGCTGTTTGTGCTGATAGCAAGGAAAAAATCATATTATCAGCTCAAGAGTGAGAGAGCCAAGGCTATCCCAGCTCTAATAAACCCTGAGAATCAGGAGGGKGCATGGCTGCACTGAAACCAGGGAGAGGGAAGGTTCACTGGGGGTTTACAGGGTCTCAAATGGAACAGGGGAYTGATGGATGGAGCTCAAACTGTGCAGCAGCAGAAGCTGGGGAGGGACAGGGCWTTCCTTGGAATTATGGATCCTTTGGGACGTGCCCTGCACAGTGCCTGCCAGCTCCTTGGCTGGGGATCCTGTGACAAGGGACACAACTCATCTGTCTGAAGCCACCTCTTGTGTCCCCTCCTGAATTTGTGAGCAGCTCCCACCTCACACTCCCCTCCAGCCATACCCTGCTGGATTTTCCACAGGTAAAAGGATTCCTGAAGGGTTTCAGTGTCATCCCAACACCAGCAGCTTCATCCCAGACCTTTTTCTACCAGTCCACACTGCTTCAGACCCTCTCTTTCCTCTCAGAATTCCCTGATGGAGCAGAACAGCCTCGCTCAGCCTTGCACCCTGCACARCCCCAAACCTCCATCACCAGCACTCACCTCTTCATAGAACTTCAGCTGAGGGACAGCTTCATCAATCTCATTCATACAGTAGTCTTTGAAGAGCAAAAATCCTGGAAAGAAAAACAGAAAAAACTCAAAAAAAATTGTCTTATGCTGATAACATATTAAAGAGCAAAAATCCTAGAAAGAAAAACAGAAAAATCAGAAAAACTGTCTTATTACACTGGTAACTCTTTAAGAGAGCAAAAATCCTGGAAAGGAAAACAGAAAAATCACAAAAACTGTTATATTATGCTGGTAACTCTTTAAAGAGGAAAAATCCTGGAAAGAAAAACAGAAAAATCAGAAAAACTGTCTTACTATGCTGATGATTTGTAAAAAGGCTCACAAAACCACCCAGGTTCCACTACGGGGTGTATAAACCTGGGTGAGCATCCCTATCTGCCAAATTTTAGGATTCTGATTCCCATCCAGCTCCTCATTTCCAGCACAAAAGGATTCTAAGCCTCCCTCACCTCCCACAGGTGTATTAAGCCCATTCCTGCTTCCACCTGCTGAGGATTTTATGAGGCATTTCCATAATGCACCAAAATATCCCGTTCCTCTTCACAAACTGTATTTTCTTCCTCTTTTTTTCCCCAGTAAAATCCAGACACTATTCACATTTGGGGGTTTTCTGCAAGAGATTTACCTACATTTCACTGCTACAGCCCAACCTCTTCTCCCTCCCATTTCTGAATTACCAGTTCATGTTACCTCTAATGGGTTTTATTGCTCAATAAATTACATCAGGGTCTTTACAGTTCCTTTGCAAGTAATTTAGGGCAYGACCCCAGCAGGCTGCAGATGAGAATCTTCCATTAGGAGCATTTTAATGCACTGTCACAAGCCTCATCCCATGGAAACGCTGCCTTTCCCTGGCTCTGAGCTGGCACCTGCTACCCCTGCAATTTCACACAGGGATCTGTGTCATAAATGTCCCCATCRTCACCAAACCCACCCAAAATCCTCCATCTCCACAGCCAGATGGTGCATCTCCACCTCTCCTCACCAGTCTGGCTTTTTGAGGACAAAAAGTGAAACTTGGGGCCCTGCCTCAAATTCCTTATTTCCCACATGGCAGAACCAGCAGAAACGGAGCAGAATTCCTGCTGAATGGACTGAACTTTTCTAGGACAATGAACCAAAGAAGATTGGGTAATTAAGAGACTGAAGAGTGGCACAAACAGCGCTGAATGCAGTGAAAGAAAAATCCCTGGCCTGCTCCCAGCTCCTGGCCAGGGCCCAAAAAAACCCACAAACAACAAAAAAACACAACAATAAACCACAAAGACAACTGGGGGAGGAGTGTGAAAATATACCAACACACATTTCCAGCAATGCCACGCCAAACATTCCAGCCCTGCTTAGTATTTTCCAAACTTTTGAAATTTAATTATGGCAGAGAAAGAAGAGGTTCCCAAGCCCATGGAGCAGGGAACAATCGGACGTTTATGCAGCCACAGGACATGGGCTGCTCCTCTTTGAGGCCCCTTGGCACCACACTGCAAAAACCCAGATACACCCAAAATATACAGACTGACAGCTGGGGGAAGAGAAGGTTGTGTGGARACCTCACAGCATCTTCAGGATCTGAAAGGGCTGCAAAGAAACTGGAGAGGGATTCTGCATCAGGGGCTGGAGTGACAGGACAAGGGGGAATGRCTTCAWACTGAAAGAGAAGTTTAGGTGAKATATATGGAAAAAATSCTTCCCTGTGAGGGTGGGGAGGCCCTGGCACAGGSTGCCCAGAGAARCTGTGACTGCCCCTGGATCCYTGRAAGYGTCCAAGRCCAGGCTGGACAGGGCTTGGAGYAMCCTGGGAYAGTGRAARGTRTCCACAGGAGCTTTAARGTCCCATCCAACCCAAACCATTCCATGATTCTACAAYTCAGACAAATCCAATTAAAGCTTCATACTCCCCAGACTGGAATTGTTTCTGTTTCGACCTCCCCATTCTATCAACAGACCCTGCACTTCCCCTGCAGCACAAAGGAAATCTCCTCCTTTGCCGCCGCTCTCGGATTGAGTGAAAAATGATCAGCCAGGAACCGCAGCTCTCACATAATGGCACAACCAAGTGACAGATGCAGCATTGAGTAAGTGACAGGAGTTTGAAGAAGTTCAGGGAGAGCTGACRAGGAGCACAATAAGCACAGTTAACAGCACACAGGAAAATAAGCCCGGGAACAGAAAGCAGGAATTAATAAAATGATAGCGTTAAGTAACAGCTAAAAAGAACTGGCAATTATTTATGAAATAAAGATGCTGACAGCTTTGGCTTTAAAGATTCCTTCTGCTATAACTATATAATTTCTGCAACAACCAGATCACTGGTTGTTAAGGGAAAAGAAAAATATTGTTAAGAGCTTCTTCTGCTAACACCAAAGTGATGGATGACATCAATAACACACACACAGAGWGCGAGGCAGCACCCAGCTCCCAGCCTTCCTGGTCTCTGGACAATCATTTTCCCYTTTATATGGACAATCCCAAGACAAATTCACCATGTGCCATGAATTGCACTGACTCTAATTACCAAGGCARAATGTCTTTCAAGGAGGGATGAAGAGCACTTTTGAGGTTTGCAGCTCAGAGCTCACCAGAGCAGGTAGGGATGGGTGGTGAGAGAGCAGATTCAGGTGAGGCAGCTCACCTGTAGCCAGGTATTCCCAGAGCTCACCCCCAACAGGACAAGGTCTGTTTCAAAATCTTGGAGAGCACAAGAAAGGGAACTGACTTAACCCATCTCTTTAGAAATGAAAATKAATACTTACTTCAGTATTTATTCCAAATAATTATGTTTTTCTAGCATGACCTCAGAATTTTGCATGAAATCCTGACTCCAATCAATGGCATCCCTCCACCCCTGGTTTTTCCTCTCCAGGATTCAGCCCTTCCCACGACCAGGGAACACAAATGCTGCTGCTGACCAGCCACAYACTCCAGACTCATCATGTTTGTGGCCTCCACTGGACCCTCTCCAGSAGCTCCTTGTCTTTCTCGAGCAGTGGAGACCAGAACTGAACACCACACTCCAGATGTGGCCTCACTAGGGCTGCTCATCAGGATTAAAGCCACCTGCTCATTTCCCATTTCTGTGGCATTTTCCTGCCCTGCTCCCAACCTTTGGCTCTGCCAAAGTCTCCCCAGCACAGCAACCACGGGGGCCAGCACTGGCCTCTGTCTCCTCCAGCACTCTAAAGGTCACCTGCAGCCTCACCATCACCTCATCATCCCTGTCAATTAGCTGAGAGCATGGAAAAATAAATTAAATAAAATAAAAATGAGGAGCTCCATCATAAAACACTTGGAGAAAACAACTTAGCTAATCCTAACTGGAATTTTATGAGCATCTGATTCGGGTAACCTTTTAACAGGAGTAAATAAAAATCTTATTAAAGCAAACAGGAGTGACTAGGTGAGAGAGCAGAGCTAAAAATAGCCATGTTGAGCCCCGATACGAGCATTCACAATATCACTGATTGAAAGGAAGCTGCATCTATTTCCAGCAGGCCTGAATGTGATCCAAAACGCTGATGTAGCCTCTTTCTAGTAGGCAAAATAGCAAATTAGAGAACAAAAATATCAAGCTGTTTCCAAATCCTCCCGAAACGTGCTGGGGATAAATACAGAGCCCTGCAGAACAAAGCAGCAGTGACATCTGCACCAGCCACGGGCTCCTTTCCCAACGCTCCGGCCAAGGACACAGAAAGCTTTGGGAATGTGGGGTGGTGCTCTGCAAAGTGGTTTAGGGCACTGAAGGGTTTCCAATCTAAGCCATTCCAAGAGTTCTCTCCTGATCTTTCACACCTGGATAACAGCAAGAAGCMGTGGCCAGAGGGATATCACATTGTACAAAGGAGGGGTTGGGYTCTGMTSCCAGGGAACAGGGACAGRACAAGGGGAAACAGCCCCAAGCTGTGCCAGGGGAGGGTCARGTTGGACATCAACAGGAATTTTTTCCCAAAAAGGGTGGTCAGGCACTGGGAGGGGCTGCCCAGRGAGGTTTGGAGTCCCCATCCCTGGAGGTRTCCAAGGAATGCCTGGACATGGCACTCGGTGCTCTGGGCTGGTGASAAGGTGGGGATTTGGCACAGGCTGGACTTGATGGTCTTGGAGGGCTTTACTGACCCTAATTATTTTGGGATTCTGAGGCCAGAAATGTCTCTGATGTGCAACTGCCACAGGACAATGTCAACATGGTGACACTACAGCACAGCTGTGTTTAAATCCAGCTGGGGGWGTGCTCAGCCTCCTGAAATGGGACTCACTGGATCCATCCAATGGATCCATCAGTAACAGATCTGATCATAGTCAAACACTGGGGCAGAATCTACCACTAAAACACGTAAAAACCGTAATTCCCACCAGCCTGCAATTGTCACAAATGCCAGGCCAGGCTCAGACTCCTGTTCTGTACAGCTGCCACAGCTCAGCCTCATTCAGGCCACCTAAGAGCTCCAGAACCAACAGAAACACCAATTTCCTTCCCCAAGAACAAAAAAAAAATTGCTATTACCCAGGAAAACTGTGTAGGAATTGTGCTCTGGCAAGGTCCAAAGCCACAAAAATCCTCCCAGCCCAAAAAGCACCACCCCTTCCACTACTTTTCTTCCCCTAATCTATTCTTTCCTAATTSAGCCTAATGCTCGTTCGCTTTGCATTAAAAATAATACATTAAAACAGACTTAAACATATTCCTGTGCATAGAAAGCAGGAGAAAAGAACAAACTGTATCTCACAAGAGGATGTGCATCCAATGGTGAGGAGCACAGAACAATTTCCCTAGAACAGAACCAAATTGAGCTCAAAATTAGGCTGCAAGTTGCCAGGTAGCTTTGTTTAATGACGTCTAGAAATCATTATATGAAAATAAGCTTTGGCTAAAAGGTTTTAAGTGTTGTCAAAGAAACTTCTTCTTTTCAGGCATATTTTCTAATAGCTTTTCACCCAGGGAAAGCTGGTCTCCCTTAACGTGCAGACTCCAACTGACTGAAGTATCAAAGGCATTCATCATATCAAAGTTGCAAGAAAAAAGAGGGTTTTATACAAGAAAAAGCTCATCTCA